AGATTTAGTCGACATATTCCTGGCGGTTCAGCGGAACAACGCCTCCGCCTTTATCAGGACGACTTGTGGTGGTTTCATGCTTTTCCTTCAGTTCTTTAGGCTGGTCTGGTCTGTGTAATCTTTGGTCAACAGATTGTGAGAGGTCGGCTTTGAATTGGTAAATTGATGGCAACAATCAAGAAGAGTTGATTTGAAGTGTTGGAATCAGTGCAGCGATGCGGCTGTAAGATCGAAAGTCTGTCTAGTTAAGCTGTTTTGCTTTGTAAGCTGCACTTGAGTGTGCAGTCTGTTGACGCTGGATACGCTGTTGCAGGACTTAGGACCCAGTGACGCAGTGACCGAGTGACACAGCTTGTAGCTGAGATGTCGAGAGAATGGCAGAATACTGACTGAAGACACATTTGTGGGGATCAGTGGGAAATCTCCTCTCTACTTCTACCGGCTTGAGGCTGTCAGTATTGTTTGTGATTGGTGAACTGAGACTGATTTTCGATGACAATAGAGATACCATCGTCAAACTGTTGACTTTCACCAGTCGATAGTTCATGAGGACGAGGGAGCTTGTCTTTTAGACAAGTGGAGAACAACTTCCGGCTGGTGAGGGTCAAGTGGAGTTTCGCCGCAGACAACGTCTTACCGACTGATTTAGAAGGAGGATTTTCGAGCATATCTGAAGTCTGATCACCCTTAAACTCCAGATTGACGAAGATGCTTTTCTTTGGAACTGAGTTAGTGGCGAGATTGGAATGTTTATCCTTCGTCTTTTTATCAATACAACGGTTGGGGTGACGGTTTTCAGCAAGCCTGGCTCTTAGGAAAGAAAATTCAGCGTGAAGGCAGTCAGAACGACAAGCCTTTCTTCACGCACAGCAGAGGGAGTGAATAAGGCTTCTACTCCTGGGAATAGGCACCAACCAACTATAGAGAATAGTTAATCGTCCATTCCATCCATGTACGTGCTCGGTGGATGGATATTTTGGGAGCTGTGTTGTTGTGTGTTGTGTGGAACACACCAGGAGAAGGAATGCCTAGTTCAGATTCATTTTCTAGGGTAAATTCTAAAGATGCTTGTCAAAGCATCCAACAACTCGACTAAGCTGAGTGTTTTCAAGCTTTGACATAAGACAGTGAGCCAGTAGTGGACCCAGTGGTGACTCCATCGCAACACCCTCCTTCTGTCTATATATCTGGTTGTTAGAGCTAACCTGGACGTTGGATGTGCATCTGAGTGAGAGTTGTTTAAGGCAGGTTGTTGGCAGCCCTAGGTCTAAACTATCTGCATCGATATAGTCGCATATATAGCAGATGGTTTCTGTGAGAGACGCATTAGTAAACAACGAGGTCACGTCTAATGAAAGCATGACTTTGTCTGAGGCGTCGAAATCTCTGATACCATGAACTAGTTGAATTGTATCAGCAGTGGCAAACTTAGACACTTGCCTTCTGACTGGTTCCGGCATTTCGGCTAGCCATTGAGCCATACGATGATAAGGGGAACCCATCATATGGAGGATCGAACGAAGAGGTAATCCATATAAACGTGGGATTATGGAGCCGACGGGTGAGACACGCTCATGTGAATCTGAGGAGATCATTGACTCGTCTGTCATGTTTTGTAGAACATTTGTCAGGTGGTTTCCAATTAGCTGTGTTTTGTTCATTTCACTCTGGGATTTGGCGATTTTCGTCCGATCAGAGAGAATCGCTAAGATTTAGTCGACATATTCCTGGCGGTTCACCGGAACAACGCCTCCGCCTTTATCAGGACGACTTGTGGTGGTATCATGCTTTTCCTTCAGTTCTTTAGGCTGGTCTGGTCTGTGTAATCTTTGGTCAACAGATTGTGAGAGGTCGGCTTTGAATTGGTAAATTGATGGCAACAATCAAGAAGAGTTGATTTGAAGTGTTGGAATCAGTGCAGCGATGCGGCTATAAGATCGAAAGTCTGGCTAGTTAAGCTGTTTTGCTTTGTAAGCTGCACTTGAGTGTGCAGTCTGTTGACGCTGGATACGCTGTTGCAGGACTTAGGACCCAGTGACGCAGTGACCGAGTGACACAGCTTGTAGCTGAGATGTCGAGAGAATGGCAGAATACTGACTGAAGACACATTTGTGGGGATCAGTGGGAAATCTCCTCTCTACTTCTACCGGCTTGAGGCTGTCAGTATTGTTTGTGATTGGTGAACTGAGACTGATTTTCGATGACAATAGAGATACCATCGTCAAACTGTTGACTTTCACCAGTCGATAGTTCATGAGGACGAGGGAGCTTGTCTTTTAGACAAGTGGAGAACAACTTCCGGCTGGTGAGGGTCAAGTGGAGTTTCGCCGCAGACAACGTCTTACCGACTGATTTAGAAGGAGGATTTTCGAGCATATCTGAAGTCTGATCACCCTTAAACTCCAGATTGACGAAGATGCTTTTCTTTGGAACTGAGTTAGTGGCGAGATTGGAATGTTTATCCTTCGTCTTTTTATCAATACAACGGTTGGGGTGACGGTTTTCAGCAAGCCTGGCTCTTAGGAAAGAAAATTCAGCGTGAAGGCAGTCAGAACGACAAGCCTTTCTTCACGCATAGCAGAGGGAGTGAATAAGGCTTCTACTCCTGGGAATAGGCACCAACCAACTATAGAGAATAGTTAATCGTCCATTCCATCCATGTACGTGCTCGGTGGATGGATATTTTGGGAGCTGTGTTGTTGTGTGTTGTGTGGAACACACCAGGAGAAGGAATGCCTAGTTCAGATTCATTTTCTAGGGTAAATTCTAAAGATGCCTGTCAAAGCATCCAACAACTCGACTAAGCTGAGTGTTTTCAAGCTTTGACATAAGACAGTGAGCCAGTAGTGGACCCAGTGGTGACTCCATCGCAACACCCTCCTTCTGTCTATATATCTGGTTGTTAGAGCTAACCTGGACGTTGGATGTGCATCTGAGTGAGAGTTGTTTAAGGCAGGTTGTTGGCAGCCCTAGGTCTAAACTATCTGCATCGATATAGTCGCATATATAGCAGATGGTTTCTGTGAGAGACGCATTAGTAAACAACGAGGTCACGTCTAATGAAAGCATGACTTTGTCTGAGGCGTCGAAATCTCTGATACCATGAACTAGTTGAATTGTATCAGCAGTGGCAAACTTAGACACTTGCCTTCTGACTGGTTCCGGCATTTCGGCTGGCCATTGAGCCATACGATGATAAGGGGAACCCATCATATGGAGGATCGAACGAAGAGGTAATCCATATAAACGTGGGATTATGGAGCC